GAAAGTTGCAACATTGTTTTCACCATACAAAACATAGTAGATGTTCAGGGCGCTGCAAGTGAATCATTGCTTATGTTTCAAAACAAAATCTTATGTGTGTCCTACTCTAATAATTCTCGTGGTTGCTTTAAGCCTAAGGAAACGCTCCGGGAACCATAACTTTATCTCAGTTAAGTTGTTATGGTGTCTGGAGGTCTTGGTGTCTCCCTAGTGCTCCTGATTACGCCAGTCCTCCTGTACACTTTTGTCTACTCATCTGGCCCCGGCTTCAATGCGCAAGTCTTTTTATGGGTGCTCGTGATAGGCTAAGAGAATCAGCTGGCCCACCAATAAGAAAAATGCATTAGAAATTGTTATGGTGTCCAGACTGTTCCCTTAGCAATAATCTATTAAAATGTTCTACTTTGGCTAACACATTTTCCTGTCAAGCCTTCTTCCCTGTATTTCTACTGCCATCCCTGCTGTTTCTTTTGCTCTGTGAGTAATGTTCTAACTGCGCAGTGAGCTGCAGTATGTTCACCGCCACAAGGGACAGAGAGACTAGGTCTAGTGTAAAACTCAGTCCTCCCTCACACTTGTACATATTTAATGTGTACAAACTGAACCGTGCAAACGCAGAAAAATAGCACAAATGTCATTTATACAGGATTATTCCCTAAAGAGGGAATTCAAAATGAATCTAAAATTTAAGGGTAAAATAGCTAAATTGGAAAGAAACTATGTCTGGTAGCTTCAGTTTTGCTACTTTGGCCTAACCTTTTTTCATTTACTTTGAATTCACTTTAAATTCCCTCTTCGGTAAATAACCCTGATCTTGTCATGTCCTACTTTGGTTAGATTAAGAAAAATGCAAATATTGGAGGTGTAAAAATTTCTAAGAAATCTAAATAAAAATATTAGTTTTTTTATCATTAATTCTTTATATCTGTCTAATTTGTGTCCTCTCTCAAAGACCCTGGGTTGTTTACAACTAGGTTACTTGTATCCTGCATCACTGCTGCAGCATAATCCTCCGACAAAACGCATTAATAACTTTATTCATAATAATAATAATGAATAACGCATTATCCTCAGCAGGCAGGCAACCAGTTATTATTTCTTTCTGATTCTGAGCACTAGTCGTTGATTAATGTCCATTTAATATTGCTTCAAAAGTTCAAGAAGGGTAATACACGTTTTTGTGTGTGTATGTATGTATGTGTGTATGTATATATATATATATATATATATAAAAATGTTTATTTATTCCCGCCACCCCATAAAAGAGCTTTATTGTGCAAACATTTTGTACCTGGATCAGCAAATTATAATTTGATCAATTGCTAGCGTGCAAAACAATGAGTAAAGGCTCGCATGGTATAGCAGCGAGCAGAAATGCAATATAGTGTGGGCATTAATTGACCTTTAGCTGCTTGTTCAGGTTCTTCTTTTAAAAAAAAAAATGATTTTCCATATTCACCCTGGATTTATAAGAAATGAGTAATGGTGTTCTGAAAGTATTAGATATGTTTTCATTCATAATAGAAAGTTGGACTAGTATTTTCAGGTGGAGTCTTGTTCATTCTGTTTAAGCTGGAATCTTGTTTATTACTTTTTAATACTGTGCTGCGTACTTCACTGTAAGCTAGACTGTACTTAAAGGGACGATTTTAAAGGGTTACTCTAAGCACCATGACCACTTCAGTGATTTAACCCCTTGGCTCATGGAGGTGTAACCTGCCCTCTGTCTGCATGATTAGACAGCCAAAAAAAAACAATGTTCAGGGCTGGGTAACTTAAATTCTATGCAAAATTGGCACCTGACGCTTGCACACACAGCATGCTGGCGGCAACAAGGCAATAGCGGCACGCCCACCTTCCACATGCCATGCCCGTCCTTCTCTCAGTCCATCCTCTCTGGTCAGGCCATCTCAGAATGGATTACTCTAACATGAAAAAAATTATTTTGGTTAAAGTAGCTCTTTAAACACCATTGTATTTGTAAAAGTGCTCTGGTTTACTAAGTTGTTATTCGCCTGTATATTTTATTTTATTTTTTTCCGACTGACTATGGGATCCTTCTCTGATATGGGGATAAGCATGATATAACCTACAAACTTCTCATGACTGTCAGTGAATGGATTATTAATATGTAGGTGTGAGGGTATCTACACATGGTTTTGTTGCCTGTATATTAAGTCCATTACGTCTGAACTCTTCCCTGTGGCATGCTCAGTTTGAAGGCATGGACTCGTTTCCCATGGATAACCATTCCTTTATTAATGCCACCTCCTCTCTGATAAGTTAGAGATTAATGTATAGGCCAGTGAGCTGTTCCTGATTTTGATTAAGGACCACTAGTGCCTAGATGATGTGTAGTCCCTATAAAGAGCTGATACAAATTACTATTTAAGTTGATGGATATGTTTAGAGATCTCTTAAATTAGCTTCAATGTGTTTACATTTTTGAATTTATGTAATCTGCCATACTTTCTGGTGTACTCGTAGTATTCACATTTAGTGTGTACAAATACCTGTTGTAAGTCAGTTAATGGAGAAAACTGCATATTTACATTTTTAGGCTGTGTCTTACATCAGACATCAAATTCATAAAACATATTCGGTGGATTGTTTTAATTTTTTAATTTTTTTTTTTTTTTTTAAAGTGTCCTGTACTGCTGTTTTGTGGTAATCCTATAGAGTCGTGGGTTCAATATTCGAGTAACCACAACCACATGAGGCAAGAAAAATCAGACCAATCCAAGCACTATACCTAGTACACTACTTAATTATTGTGACAGTTTCCCTTCATCCAAATGTCTGTTGCTTTTACTAGGTGCAACAGCTAGAGTACATGCAGGTTTCAAAGGGGTGTTTTTTGATTTCTGAAATGCGTTAGCAGCAATGTCAGAAAATTAGGCTTAGTGGATGTTTGATGAAGTCTTCAGTACTTTTTACAGACATCAATAAAGTAAGAGATTTTCACCAAACCTGTCTGGTATCCAACAAAATGCAGCAAGGAAAATACCTGAAACGTGTCTGCTCGGTCATGATAATACCCTCCTTAAAATAATAGAATTTCATAAATGTTGTGTCTAAGTCGAAGTGGGGCCATATGGTATACATTGCTACTGTTTCTTTACCGGAAGATGCGTAACATAATATTTAAAATTAAAATAAAAACCCTATGTTTTATGGACAGGTGGCTAAAAGGTAGGCTTCATGTGATGTAGAAGTGCATGCCCCATAGTGCTTTAAAGTTTGATTAACGTTACTTCTGTTCGAACTGTGAGCTTTCGTTAGATAGCTGGACATTTACCTTGTTTTTAGAAGAAACTACGTACACTAAAATACCTCTAGTTACTAGTTGTTCTCACTGCTTCTAAGGGGTATGTTCACTCAACACAGAGCAACTTAGGTGTTTACACTTTTCAAAATAGTTTAACATCTTCGGATAAGATGGGACCCAGGGACTTCAATCCTCAAAACAACTTTATTGAGATGAAGTTGTTTTGAGGCAAGAGAGTCCGTTTTTAAAATGCCAGCTGAAAGAGACACTCCAGCACGCAGAGTGGTGTTTCTTAGTTTTTTTTTCATTTTACGAAAAGTGCAGATGTCAATAGAAATTGACACTTTTATAAAGTAACTTTGTTACAACCCCTGCCTGTCAATCAGGCAACTGGTCATTTTACTTCCTGGTTGTTTAGGTAAGTGGAGCTAAACTCAAAAGGCAGGGAATTGCCGAGAGCACATGCCTTTCAAAAAGTTCTCATTGAGTTGCATTGATAAGTCTGTGATTAGACAACCACAGAAACTCTGGACTTGGAAAGCAGAGGAGGACTTGCAAAGGCTGCAAACTAAAAAGATCTGCAGTTTTTGCAAGCTACTTTTAGGTATGTCCCAGGAAAAAATGCGTAATTTGATGCATGCATGTGTTCATTTACAAGAAATATTTTAAAGAGTGCAATATATATATATATATATATATATATATATATATATATATATTATACTTTATACATGGATTCCTTGAAGTATGTGTCTGCTGTATACAACAGCTTTGAAACACAACTCAGGAAGAGGAGCAAAGCCAGTGAACCACTCATGGACAGCTGTTTTGTTGTTAATGTGTAACATATTCAGCCTCACCTTATTTTATCTCCGCTCAGCAGCCATGCATCAGTGTACCTGAATCCCGCAACATGTTGATGGACGCCGTCCGCCCACGGTAATAGCGACGTCGGCGTGCGTGTGACATCACGTTCTGGGGTCAGGGGCCGATTTTGGCCAATCAGAGGTGTAAAAGGCTTATTTGAATGCATTTCTACTTTACCTCATTGCCCTGTCGTGGTTTCTCTAGTAGTTGTCCGAGAGTATATTTCTGTTTACTGACTCTGGCTACGTTTGACTTCCCTGTTTTCTAGTATCCCTGACTATTTGCTTTCCCTCATTGTGTCTCATTCTGTGTCCCTGACCTCGGAAAGTATTCTCACTATTCTCTGGTATGGTAAAGGACCACTATAGGCACCCAGACCACTTCAGGTTAATGAAGTGGTCTGGGTGCCAGGTCCTTCTAGGATTAACCCTTTCTGCTGTAAACATAGCAGTTTCAGAGAAACTGGTATGTATACCTATGGGTTAATGCAGCCTCTAGTGGCTGTCTCACTGACAGCCACTAGTGGCACTTCCGCGCTTCTCACTGTGATTTTCACAGTGAGAAGACGCCAGCGTCCACAGGAAAGCATTGAGAATGCTTTCCTATGGACTGGCTGGAGGCGCACGCGGCTCATGCCACGCATGCACATTCAGCCGATGACGGGGAAAGGAGGCGGAGAGTCCCCACCGCCGAGGGAGCCCGGCGGTGGAGAAAAGTTAAGTGTTTAACCCCTTCCTCACCCTAGAGCCCGGCTGGAGGGGGAACTAGAGACCCTATAGTGCCAGGAAAATGAGTATGTTTTCCTGGCACTATAGTGGTCCTGTAAGGAGTTACTTGTAAAGTACATACCAAAAGAGTTGTGGTGGGAAAAAAGTGTGTCACCAAAAGAGTTGTGGTGGGAAAAAAGTGTGTCACACTTTTTCCCCACCACAACTCTTTTGGTATGTACTTTACAAGCAACACCAAGCCTCCATAGCAAGCCAATAACCAACCTCATGCTAATGATTTGCATTAGCAACGAAACAGCTGTCCATGAGTGGTTCACTGGCTTTGCTCCTCTTCCTGAGTTGTGTTTCAAAGCTGTTGTATACAGCAGACAAATACTCCAAAAAAATCTATATATATATATTTTTTTTTTTGTATTTGGATAGTGAAATGTTCCTTTAAACCAACATGATCAAAAAAGCTTTATTTATTTAGTATTCTTTTTTATCTTATGTTTTTTATGAATGGAAATATTTTTTTCCCATTCACCTAAATTTGTCATAATTTATTGTTGTTGTTGTTTGTAAAAGGCAAATTGGTATTGTGTGCTTATTTACTTGTATGGTTTTTGTCTGCCTTTTTTATACAATGCTGTGGAATAAGCATTTGTTTCATTAGTAAAATGAAAAAAAATTACACAAAACACAGCCTGATATCATTAATCTCTTCGGTACTTGGTGTTAACACTAGACATTCAGTAAATATACCTGTGTACGGATCACTTCTCCTGTTTCACTCAGGTCTCCCCTTCTGGTCTTGCAAATAGAAATGATTGATTGAGCAAGTGTCTTCCTACGCAGTCCATGCTTTTTATGTTATTAATAAAATAAAAGCATGTAATGTATTCTTGTTCCTCTCTGTATATTTTATTCAGTCATCTTCCTCTAATTCTCCTGAGAAGAATGAAAGACATTTTTGCAACAAGCTCACGGTCAAGAAACAATGTAATGTTTTAGACCCATAATAACTTTTAATGTGCTTAATCCAGTGAGCAATTTCATTTAGAATCTTTACTTGGCATTGACTCTGTAACAATAAAAGGTTAATACATTCCCTAAACCAGAGATAAAAGACGGGAAAAAGCAAATTTTAGGCCAAAATTAGAAGCCATTCTCAATTTTCTCACTTTTGTGGTCTAAAATGTGCAATTTCTTTGATAAGTCCTCGCAATTCCAGGTTAAGTGACTTGACGCCCATATCTGCTGAGCACTTCACTGGCTCTCTGCAGAAAAATGAATAACCTTTTATTAAAGTGGACCGTTTCTATTATATCATACTCGGCTATGTGTTCCGTGATCCAAGACTCATTGAAATAATCACACATTTGTACTTAGAACTTATTTTGCAGCCATAAGGTCAGACATGCTTTGGTGAAAAAAAATGGGGGAAAAAATATTCTTCCATATTAGAAGGGTTGGAAAAAAAAACACATTGAATGTCACTGAAACTTTCCAATGGTAATTTGAAGTATTGTTTTTTTTTTGTTTGTTTTTTTGAGAAAAACTGGTGAAAGCATTTTTGCTTGTAAATGTCTCTCTGTTAGCAGCAATGGTGTACATACAGAGGATTGAGGCCTTAGGCAACACTGGAGGAAGAGAAGCTTCAGGAAAGTCCTCATGTTGCAGTGGTTATGGTGACAGGAGTGCCCTGGAGCCCTCCCAAGGTAAGTAGTCAAACTATTTCAAAATGGTTTGACAACTTACCTGGAGTGAGATAAGTGCCAATATTCGCTGATCACTCTCAACCAATGAGCTAGGCCCTGCACATCCAGGTCACCTCAAAGCAGAGCGCTCCCAGCTGTTAGTTAAGGAGGTGCTTGGCCAGGCTAGTTGCGAAACCATTCGCAAATGGTTTGCTATTTACCCGTGGCGCGGGGATGGGCACGGAGGACACAAGGCACTCCTGACACCATAATCATTCCAGCAAATTGTAGTGCTTACAGTGCTTGGAGAATTCCTTAAATTCTCACATCGATAAGTCTTTAGTGCCTCTGCCATTTTTAATCCCCACCTTCCCACAAAAGCAAAATATGCTTCACAGGATGTTTGTCGTCACACCATAAACACAAGGTAAATAAGTGAAAAATATCACAGGAACATGTATTCCTTGTCCTGTCTATTCAGAGACTCTCCAGATGATGGGAACCTCAGGACCTTCCGGGGCTCAAGTTTAAAATTCAGACAGATTACTATATTAATGTGTGAGTGTCTTTTTCTGGAAGTCGGAGTTAATTTCAGATTTTAAGCTAATATACCTGAACTGAAAACATGTAGCTGACAGGATTTTTACAGTATGTCTACCTTGACCTCAAATTTAGAATTCACCATGAATTCCCAGCAGTCCATGGTTTAGTCTCTCATTGTGGGTTAGCCACAGCAACCTTGGCATCCTGCATAACTTGCTGTGAAACATGAAGTTGGCTCTGTTCAAAATAAATAGCTATTTATAAATTGAGGCCATTTTATTATCTGATTTAAATGCAATCTATCAATAATGCGATTCACGTCACTATCCCACCTCCTTTTAAAGAAAAACGTGGAGTGAATATGAGACCATATGAGAATATAAAATATAGCAAGTTGGTCTGCACACTCACCTCCTTCACTGCTCTCTTACACACAATAATCACACTAGTTGCAGAATCTCAGCTTCATGATAGTGATGGGCCCTTATCTGTAAGAGAGCAATGAAGGAAGTGTGTGCAGAGAATGACATGCTCACAAACCTCCTCTGCTAGAGGCTCTGTGTGAGAGGTAGTTGGACACAGTACCTACCACTGCATATTTAGATAATGGAATCTGTGAATATCCTACATAGAGCTCTGTCACATAATGCTTTGTAACCTACAACAGTGAATGGTGGGTAGATACTGCATCTACAGTCTGTCAGGTTACCTGTTCATATTTTCCAGTCTGGGAAACAGCTTGGGGAGGTCCTCCGTGTGGAGGGGGAGTGTCCTCATGGTCCTCGCTCACTCCTCAGTGGTTTCACCATTGTAGCTCCGCCCCTTTTGTGATGTGTGCTGATGATTTCGCAGCTTGCCGAAACGTTTAAATTCCACCATTTTGGGGGTGTGGCTACAAAATTAAAAGGGCATGTTTTGGTTAAAGTTTTGTTCCCTATATTGCGTTTATATTATTGTATATTTCTGGTTCTAACTTTGGCTTTGAATAATCATTTTACCTTCTATCCCCTGTGACTCGCTGTTCCTGAATTCTGGCTTCCCTGACACCGTCTTGTCCCTGACTATGTTCTCTCCTTGTAAACGTTAGCCCGGCCACCCTGAGGTCCGGTATACATTATCCTTACTATTTTATTACATTCTGTATGTTGGGTCTCTCTGTATTCATGACATTATCACATATCTATTAGCAAGTAATCAGAATTACAGTTAGTTATTGCATTCTAGATATTGTTTTCAATACATGGTTCATTTTTTTTTTTCTTTGTTTGTTTTAGTATCTAGCGCTGGAGCATGTCTTTTTTTATTTTTATTTCCTTTTTCCAAACTATAGATCCGTATCCATACCAGCAAGATGTGCACGCGATTTTCATTTGGAGGTCAGAATGAGTTCAATTAATTCGTGAGCCCATATTTCTGCCTGATCACTGCATTGATTATTTCTCCCTTTATGCTCTGCAGACCTCTCCAGAAAATCAGGGATGCAACACAGAGCTCTAAAGATGTAACTTGCTAGTCTGTTGTTGGGTAACCAGCACTGAGCATTGGCAGAAGATTTTGGCACTTCTTGACAGGCCGGAAACAAAGAGTTCTCTTCCAATAGTCCATTCTAATACTGGTGTACCTCTTTCTACACGCTCAAAATCGTTATAAATTATTGCAAGTTTTATTGCTGTGTAATATACTCGTGTGTAGGAGTGTTTCACAGAGATCAACGGCAGTAGAACTAATAGTAATCTGAAGTGTATAGGAGTGTATCACAACGAACCACTTACATGAAATTTACCATAATATACAGGCTATACTAGTGTTTTTACAGAATGTCACAGTAATAAAACTTACAGTGATGTCAAATTTATACGTGTGCATCACATAGAACTAAAGCCATAAAATTCACCATAATATTCAAAATTTCACAGTAATAAAACTTACTGTAATGTAAAGTTTATAGGAGCGCATCAGATAGAACCACATACATAAAATCCATTATATTATGAAAGGTATTCGAGAGTTTCACAACTTACACTTTGCATTACTGTTTCACAGAACCACAGCAAGAAAATTCACTGTCCTATATTAGTGTTCCGCTGGACTTTACAGTAATAAAGCTTACAGTAATATACAGTGTAAACCGGATCATAAATATATAGAATGGATGAGTACATAACAAGGATCCACAGCAATAAAACTTACAGTAATGTACATTGTGTTCTAGTGTAGCACAGACCTGGGCAGCAGTAAAGGTCTCACTCATACATGCTGTCTATTTATTTATCCGAGATCCACAGCAATAAAACTCACAGTAATGCAAAGTGTATGTATGAATGTATCACAGAGATCTGAAGCAATAAAACTCGTGTGGCTATAGTATAAGGAGAAATGGTATACATCTCGGGGCTTACCATAATTATATATGCCATTGTAGTAATGATATGATTGTGAGAGATTAAAGTAAAACCTGCGAAAGGGACTATCTTATTCAGGGTGCTATTGGTTATTTTAGAAGGTGAGGATAAGAAACCAGCATTCGAGACTCATGCATTAGGATCTGTATAGAGAGCCATCACTCCTCATAGGAATGACGTGGGAAAACCAAACTTGAGAACCTGTTCCATGTATGACCAATTTAGGAAGTCAAAGGCCTTCTCAGCATCAAGCGCTAGGAGAAGGCCCTTTTGTCTCCGTGCTAGGTAGTTACTTATTTTTTTATTTTTATTTATTTTTTTTAATCTAAATGGTTAAATGTTTGGTTCATTTACAATATAATCAAATACATTGTTTCAAGGTATACATCAGTTACAACATAGTTGTGTTGTTGTTTTAGGTTTCAGCCTACCTACAGCATCATTGAGGGAGTTACTATTGTTTCAAGTGATTTGATCCATTTTATAACTTTTTATAAGTATATTGAAGCTCTGGTACTTTCTTCTTGGATTGTATGGCCATCCGTCATGTGATGTTACCGTCTGTATGTAACGCTGTGAAGCAGCCTGCTTTGCTGTTCTACAGAAAAA